TTTTTTTGTGATTCTTTTTTTTTAAAAACAGTATGAAGGGTTGGCTGGAAGAGGCACTAATGAAGTATTGCAGCTCTATGCTGCTCATGGCCAGCCGCTGAGATTGCAGAGGAGTTCTGTTGTAAACCAGCTGCATGGTGCAGTAAAGGTAAAGACATTCGGTAGTAACCTAGGCATAATCTATGCCCTAAACATTTACATSCTTTTCAAATATAATAAACACACAGAAAATGGTGTGACATGAACCTAACCTTTACTGTATTCACAGCAGAGCTTGCTAATGTGTAACAATGATTTCAGAGTGGGTTTTCTGTAATAGGCTGTAAAGTCACCTGAGAGGCTGGTAAAAGTGGATGCTCCTGAGCTCCAGGATCTTTCATATAGGRTGCTATTAATACCGGAGCTGGGTCTTTTTGTAATSAAAACTTTGCTGTTCCTCAWATGACTGTCACATAGACATCCCCTAAAAACAGTAATTGTGATATACTTTAACCACATAGGCAAATCCTTTTAAAAAAGCATTTGAGAGCTCCACTGACTACTAAGAGTTCTCTGGCACATCTCAGGAGAGAAGTAGTTTGCTGTATGCTCTCTCAGGTTGTTTTAAATTTGCATCAGAGAGACTGAAACTGATCTCCCAGTGCCAGTACCATAATACTTTCCTTTGTTGAAGTACTTCCTTGTGAAGTCACTTCTTAGAATAGTGAGTTCCTTTTAGGGACACTACCAAATATCAGCTTTTCTCAGGGCAGCACTAAATGCCTGCATGAAATGACTGACAAGTATCTTAGGAAAAAAACTTAACAGGCAGAAGGGTTCAGCTTTGTAATATTGTTGATTGTAACATTGACTAGATGATTGATCACTTCCAAYAGAACTATTCTGTTTTATTCTGATCACAGTGATTCTGCTTTSTAAATTTTGTGGTGGCATTTCACATTTTTGGTTAGTTAGAATGGCAGAACCGCTTATGATGCAGTACCAGTGGATTGAGATAGTAAACCATTGGATACCAGTGAAAACTAGGAGAGAACAAAGCTCTCCTTATAAAAGCCTAAGTGAACAGTCATCCTATACTCATAATAACAAAAAAATACTTCTTCCACTTAGATTCTGTGGCTTTTGAGAGTGAGAAATGCAGTGATTTTGTCCATTTAGTTTAGATTGCCTTTTTATCATTGGAACTAAATGATTAATTCAAGGTCGGTACTACAATTGGAAAAATAAAATGTCACAGAATATTTAACACTTTGTAGGAGGCTGATAATGAAACATTACAGTTCTTCTGTGGGATAAGGTATTGTTAAGTTCACTTTACAGATGCCTTTGCATGTCCATTTCCAGACTTGGATGTCAAGAAGTTTACTAATCCTAAAATCAGGTCMATTTGTTTTTATTTATTTGGGCTTKTAAGTGAATATAAGCTGGTTTTAAAAACATTTAAAAATCTCATAATATATGTTATGCTCAGTAACATTCAAAATACAAATACCTTTCTGAACAATAACAGTTTCTGATTTTTTCCAAATACATGTATTCTTATTGGAAGACATTATTTAGCTTATTTAAGATATTTAAGAGTGAACCCTAGCAAATACCTTCTGATCAAAGTGTGGAAAATGAAACTAGTAAGGGATACACAGATCACAATTTTTCATTTCTAATTCTGGATATGACTTAAAAGTCAACAGAACACACACATGCTCACACACACTTGTTTTTGTCTGATGAAATAGGAGAGAGACTTGGTTATACCTGAAACCGTGTTATGGTCAAAGTGTGTGTGATAAGATGATAAGGATCCAGAAAGTCTTGCTGCATTTTTTAGAAAATTATGTTGCTAAATCTTGTGCAAGATCTTTCTCTAAACATGCTGAAAGATATACTCCTGAAAGCTGCCTTCCATCAAGTAGAGGGCTCTTCCTGCTTGTGATAATCTCACCATAATAATTTGGGTTGTTACATTGCTTCTTCTAAACTGCTGGTTTTGTGTTTTTATAACATATTTTTCTTCTTGAGGAGAAGAGGCTTAAGCAAGACCTGAAGAGCCTCCATTCGTTTGCTCTTGAGCTTTCAAAAGATTTTCAGCGTCAAAGCAAGACTTGTCTTTACAAAGTTCTGGTTGCAGTCCAGGGGATACAGCTGCAAAATGAAGCAATGCAAAGTAAGGCTCATTGCACTTACATTTCAAACACATAGCATCAACAATGTCATTGTTAAATGTTACTAACTTTAGAAGGTTGAGTTTGATTGTTGAGAAATACGTCACTGAAATTGTAGCACTTGTTTCTTTTTTAACATTAAATCGTTAAGGAGTTCTGAAGCATTAGAAGTACAAATAACTTTGCAGAGGTTGTAACTAATAATTTGGATTTGTCTTTTGTGTGAATTAGGCTGCTGCTGAGTTGGCTCAGCAGTAACATTTTTAAACTGAAGTTCTCAGGCTAGTTATCTTGGCTATTTTAGAAGAGCCAGAAAAAGAAAGCATTGCTTTAAAAAGCTGAAGTTTGTCTGCTCTTGACTGTAGCRGAAAAGGACTGGGCTGATTTGAGAGGTTTCTGAAAATACTGCCTGAAAATAGGATAGAGTTGATTTTTAATATTTCTGTGTATTTATTGAAAAAAAAATTACTTTCAAATAAAAAACCAGTTGCTGGACTGTAGATACTAACAGCACACAGATTGCTGTTTTGGAATTCGGGTGCTYCCTTGTTCATGCGTACATAGGAAGGCGACCGAGTGCACTGGTGCTCTCTGCCCTCATCACTGAGAGCTAAGTGCTTTGGTCCTACACCTGRATCCCATGGTATGGATCTCTGCACGTGCTTCCAATATCTTTGATTCTGGTGAATCTCCCACCAGGCCTGAGAAGCACCTGACACATGCAATACTTAAATTGTTTGAAGCCTGAGAAACTTGCAATGAATATACAAATTTGTAGTCAGAGACCCTGTGTGATGCTCTGATGTCCATATGTTGCCATTTAAAAGGTACCTTTTGCTCCTATTTTTCTTTCCTTGAATTATTTCGTTTTGGGACTTATTTGRTTTGATGTGACTCCTCATGTCAGTAGCAATAAAGAGCATTCTTGGTGATGTGTGTTTACAGAAYTTATTCCTGTATGTTATGTACTAATTTATGACTAAAATTTATTTGATTGCTGTGTTATCCTTGTAGAGAAAATGCTCAACATGTCTTTAAAAGAGAAAAAAAAACCCAAAGTGGAAAATCAACTTTATCTAAAATGTGATTTTTTTTTCTCTGMTTGAAGCAGGGAGCTAAATGAACAGATAGGAACTTGGATTTATCACTTGAGCTATYGTGGTGTAAATCATTAGTAAGTGTTCCTTCAGAGGCCTGGAAAAATTCTGTGGACTGCTCTCAATTCGCACTTCCATATTCTTAGAAATCAGAAGCAGAAGACACTTCCCTGACTATAACAAAATAGTGTGTTAGTACTTTGGTGGATGACTTTTGGTTTGAATTTGGCTGGGTTTTAGTTCTCTGTCAAATGTTTTAGATGGAGATTCTATTGTTAAGGTTAAATATGACGGTTGGAATTGCCAGCCTTAAATTACATATAATCTTTTGTAGACAGAAAGCCCTAAGTATATGCTATGGAGATTGTATATATTACTAGTTTAATTTTAAAACAGAGATTGGAAACAAGGGAGAGAATTATAGAGAAACATTTGAGTAGGTTGATGTCAAGGTTGTAGTTGCAACAAACTACACGCTTTCCTGTAATAACTGGTTAGTCCTTTGCTTAGAAATCTTTATTCACAGTATGAAAACCAGGCTACTGCCACCTTTCCCACTGGAATTTAAGTAGTAGAAATTTGTAGGAGAGAGAAGTGCCCATTATTCTGTTGTTATACGCCTGTTTCCCTTATGATCAAAGCTGCTATCATTTTTGCTAAAAATATTCACCACCCAAGTGCAAATTATGTTACTGAGACAGATGCAGTAATTCARCAGATTTTTGGAATGGTAGGAGTTTAAAAAAACTTAAGATTTCCTTTTAGATTGCTTCACCATGCAGATATTCTCAGAGAATATGAGAGTTTTGATGTTGATGCTTTGCAATTCTGGGGACACTTTCTCTGGGGGGGGGGGGGGGAAGAAGGAAAAGGAGCTTATTTCCTGTTTTGTCCATATGTTAGCAACTATGTGCTTTGCTCCTGTTGGAGAAAGCTGAGCTCTGCATCATGCTAAGTGACTTGTATTTGTGGAATGTGAACTACCATCATCTTTTATCCTCAGCTGCATGGGTGAGTTTTACCAGCTCAGATGCCTTTTGAAAGTGTTTCCTCTTAGTGTGGAGTAGGAGTAAGAGAGGGATGTTGTATCCAGCAACAGAAAAATTGTCATTTGCAGGAAATTTCTGTATAGATCAAAGAGATGGGCAAAGGATGGGGGAAAGGGATGTCTATAATGGCTGCAGGCATGTAGTGACTACTTCTCTTGCATAATTAAGACTGTGTTATTAGTATCTGAAAACAGATGTATCTGATGTCTACTCCTAGGTTAAAGAAGAATAGCTTGCAGCTGATGCCAAACAGAAAAATAGAAAAATGTTAAATATAAGYTTATATTTGTAATTGTATAACCATACTTTCAGCAAAAAAAAATAGAAGTTCAGGAATTATGCATTAGGAAACTTGGATCTGTAAAGCTTTTCCATGCTGCACATAAAGCTTTATAGAAGATGAACATTAAAATTGACAGTTCAGTCTTAAAAATATCAAAATACCATCTGCTATATGCAACATCTTGACTCATTTTCTAGAGATTCCAGTCCTCCTGTTGCTTAAAAGCTCTAGTGTCAGATGAAGAAAATTCAGGGTTGATTTCTGTTTTCAAAGTTATCTTTGCCATAGAAGTGCTAGTCAGAAAAAAAAGAGTAATTAGGACCTAAATTAACTGAAACTGAATATATAATGTCCAGTCATCCTCTGAGAGTCCTCATGAAGAGAACTTAAATATTGAATATAAGACCACTTAAATATTGAAGAAAAAATTGGTATTTTTTTTTTTATTTAAAGACTGGAATAATGGAAAAGTACCCTCAGCATCTATTGTTTTGCCTTACTGCTTATTTAAGAGCCTTAAGGAACTCTTAAGTGTGTGTCTACGAATTTGTAAATGAAGATATTATCATGGAGATTACTTAAATAATCAGTGGATTCCAACCTTGTGTTTTAAAAAATACACTGTGATTAGGAGTCAGTGACTGTAAGAGGCCCTTTTGACAGTCTATGGTAACATATTTGGATGGGATTCTCTAAACCAAAGCATGCTAGTGTTACTTCAGGATGCAAGAGAAGGATTCTTCGTAATGAAACTCTTAGACTTTGATTCCCCCGCTATTAGCATCATGTTTCCCCTGTGTGCATGCACATGTGGAGGAACACTTTGAGCTGGAAGTGAACAGCATGGGTATTAAAAAAAAAAGGTCTGAGAAATCTCTAGTGTAGGCAAATGCCCCTTGAAATTACCTGATTTTTAGTCTATACCAGAGAGAATAAATTGTATGTGTGACCATGCTGAGAAACTAAGTCTGCTCCTTGCTCTGCAAAGTTGCACACGCCGAGGCTGGTGGCCATTCTGCTAACTCAGCTCACAGACCTTGTTTTTGACTGCTTGATACTCTATATCTCCAAACTCCTCACTAATTGCTGGGGAGATTGATTTCCCACTGGGGTTCCTAAAAGCTTGCWTTTTACACAAGCTTACAGTCACATTATGCGCCTTCCGGGCTGTGTGTTCGTATTAGGTCTGCTCAGTGTTAATGTAATTAGGCTGAAAGAAAACCATTTGTAAAGTTAGAAGGCTTTTATAATGACCCATATCACTCTTCTCAATTTTGTGTTAAGAGACTCCCTAGGCTTCAAATGATCAAGTTTTCCTATGAAATCCTCATGGAGTGATGGACCCATCTTAAAGGGGAATGTTACAACTGTAGTAAAGGATTAATAGCACTGTAAGTGAGGCTGAGGATAAATGACAGGTTAACTTCTTGTAAAGTTAGCTCACATGAGTCTAATAACTGCATTTGTGTTATTAGCCTTGCAAGTGACAGTCCCATCTAGCAGCAGGCGGCTTCAAGTTTAGGTTTCAGGCTTTGCTGACAGATAACTGACTCTAACTAAATTGGCTTATTTGAACTGCCTTTAAATACCTTATATTCTTGATGGCTTTTCAAGACTTCACGTGTATACTTGTGGTAATTATTTGTAGCTTCACATATCAAGAACTATGATGGGATTTTTCATAGGTATCTAGTAAATCAGAAACTAATCCTCCTAACTGAAATTTGGTAGAAGTTGAGAAAGTTTGTGCTTATATTTCATGAGGTGCTACTGGACAATTCCTTTTGTAAAGTCATGGAGTTTATTTCTCTGAAACTGCTTTCTTCTAGTGTTTCAGATAAAAGCTTTTGATCTTGAGCAGTCTCTACAAGAGGTGACAGAGAGATATGAGAAAGAAAAGCAGAAGAGGAAGGCTCTACATAACAGCTTAGTTGTAAGTATGTTTAATGACAGCACATTGGCTGATTTGTTTGAAATTATTCCCATAATTTTCTCACCAGTAAAAGTAAAGAATATACTTCACATGGATATATCCCCTCCCCCAGCTGTCTGTATATGATGTGTTTATTTGCTGAGGCACATTTGTCTTGTAATAAACCCCACCCCTTTCTTTTTACACAAGCATATTCCAAATGCACTTGTGTGACATATTGCCCTAAGGAGTATCATCCATTTTSAATAGTGGAGAAAAGTTGAGTTTCTTCATCCTTTTCTCTAAATTTGCATTTTTTGCAATAGTTTTTAAATCCTTAAAATTATTAACTTGAAGTTGMCAAGTAGTCATCTCTTATCTTTCCAAGTATGTCTAGCTGTATCCTTCTTGATCATTAGTGATGGTTTTTCTTTTTTTCCTTTGTACTTTAAATTTACTCTACCCCCCAGATATCTAGTTTTGGGTTRCCTGATTCAAGACCTGAACTTTAGAAACATAAGCTACCTCCAAACAAAATTTTTAAACATTTTTCTACCTGGGACAATAAAATGCTTTGTTAAAAAGTATTTGCCTTCTRAATTTTTCCTTGTGTTGCAGTTTGCTGAAAGGATATTCCCCAGAGCAGTGGGGCATTAATGCCAGTGGTCAATAGTCCTCACAGGCAAACTGTTCAGTCATATAAAATGMGGACAACTGATCACCAACAAAAAGTGGTCTAAAATAGCCTACAGAGAAAAATCAGCTACTGACTTTTTAATCAGGTAGGAACACACAGTGGAGAGGAAAATGTACAACATTTTATATTCCACATCTTCCTCAGGACTGGTGGAAGAGAAATGGTGTGTGTGAAGTTGTGTGTTGATACCTTCAGGTATCTGAAGAAGGTCAGGTAAGGAGGAAGGAGGAAAAGGAAGGGAAGGGARAAATGTCTCAGAGGGGTTTTGGTTTTGTCCGTATGAACTGGAGAGGGCTATTCAATTCCAATGCTCTAAGGAGCTCAAGTACTTTCTCCTACCTTATTAGGACAAATTATATTGATTCTATTTTTCCCCCCACAGAGTCTAAGGCTATGTTCATGTTTGTTTGATAAATTTCAGTGTATTTATCCTCTGCAGTAACTTGCATTAAATACAGYTTAATATTCTTACCCCAGGAACTGAGAGGAAATATCAGAGTCCACTGCAGGATTCGACCRTTGCTACCTTTTGATGATGCTGTGGGACTTTCAGTATCCCAAGACAGGTAATTTGTTTTGGTTTTGTTAGAACCTACCTGACTCATAATTAAAATAGAGAAAACAATAGTTATATTTGTATGAGAACAACTGTGACCTTGATTTTTCTGGTTTTATGTGTGTGGGGAGACAATGATTTTCCTTCTCYTGCTAAATTGGCTCTAGCCAATCTCATCCCCCTGTCTGAAAGTATGTCTACCTCAATAGAAAGCCTTAACTGTTCTGTCAACCCAGGATTATCCTCAGCTTGGCAGAAGTAACACAGCTGCAATCAGTTTAGAGTGTATTCACTATCCTATACAAATTCTGGGATGCGTTAATGTAAGAGCTGCCAGAAGTCGTGGGTGGAGAAACACACTCAGTGTTACAATTGTTTTGTCAAGCTATAGAACACATTGGCTATGAGCACAAACATTGGTAATTCTATTTCAGTCTAATTTGGCTCTGCATCCCTAATTTATAATACATTTACTGTAACTAATGTGTCAAAACATTCCAAGATCCAAAAGGAAGAAAGGGATTAGATGCAAGTATCTGTTGAACCAGCKGAATTCTCCATAGATGACTAACATGAAAGAAAGTAGAGATTGAAGTATACACAAAGAAAGAAGGGGAAAATTAGGTGGGTGGTTAGAAACCAGTAACATTATCATTTGCTTTATCAGTAAATAGCTGATTTGGGGCTTTATTTTACTTTTACTGCCTGATAATTCTAAGCGAGTACATTCAGTATTTCAAAGCTTATTCATTTTTGGCAAATCTTACCAAAAAAAAAAAGAATTGTTGTTTTCATTAAAACATTAAAAATAACAGACAAGATATTACAAGAAGCCCGAAGTTGAAACTTGCAACAGCTGGGAAGGAACCCACTCACTTACTTTGTTGCAGTATGAAATAGTGCAATCAGATGCTGACTTGCAGAGTAAAACTGGATGGACTGGGCCAAACAAACAATTGTCAAGAGTAACTTTTCTTAATGTATTGAAAAGTCATTTAAATAAAACTTACCTGTAAAACTATGGACTGATTCTCCAAAAACTTGTGYACATAAATAAATTTATACACCTCAGCAATCCCAGTCAGTGTTTGGTCTAATCATGGATTCAAGATTAGGGACAAATACCTGAAAAGAAGGCRTTTTTCTAAAGTGAAAGCCTATTGTTACAAGCTCATTTAACAATCTAAAAATAATAGAACAGCTGGCATGTGAATTAGTCTTCATTTGGTTTGTTCTAAATGTCTTTTCTAAAGCTGATTATTTTGCTTGATTGCATTATAATTTTTTTTTATTCACTATTGACTGTGGTGTTAGTATGCACATGGGGTCCAGTAGTAGTGGCAATTCTGAAGGGTACTCTTCAGACAATGTGTAGTTCACAGACACTTTAAACATTGTTTTTCCTCGGCTAAATGGAAATCTTCAGGTTTGAAAACTACCTATTTTCCCCCTATTGGTTCTTTTTTCTTCCCTTATAGGCAAAGAAACTTTTCAGAAAAAGTGGCTTATGCAGCTGATGATGTGAGTATTTGATGGTGAAATTCAAAGCACATTCATAGATACTAGAAGAAGAAACAAGAGAGACGTGAGTTTAGAAAATAAAACCAACAAGGTCAGGTGGTGCCCACATTTGATTACCCATAAGTGCAACAGCAGGTGATTTGTGCTATTTTCACCCAGATTCTCTATAGTGGTAATAGCTTGGAGCTTCTGCTGGTGGCAGCCATCCTTTAACCAGAGGTTGAATGTTTGCAACGATTAAACTGCTGCTGACTTCCTGCTCTTACTCCCTTTGAGCCACTTGTATGTGCTGTAGCTATTTCTAAAATTATGTCAGGCTTTTTTCAAATTTTACTATTGCAGCACAGCTAATGGATTAGGAGAGAAATATGATACCTCATGAACCACAGCAGCCTACATGGTGCTGCAGTCAAGCATGTTAAAGTATCCTGGCTTAGGTCCATTGGCGGAAGAATGATCATTGAGGTTGCAAATCCAAATAACATTCCAGCAATAATTGAGGCCATTACCAAGATATAAAATTTAAAAAGGCACAGTAGTGTGAGCTAAGGTCTAAGTATTRACTTGGGTTTTCATTTTCTTTGCTGCCATAGTTTTTAGTTGAGTTGGCTGCTCACTGTTACTTACGTGGTGATTCATGTAATTCTCTTTCATAGTGTAGTGCTTAAAATATTGCTGAAGTGACCTGCAGTAGGTTATGCATTTAAATCTACCAAATTATAGTTTCATTAGGCAGATATCACTTGTATAATGTGGATAATTATATATATATAGATATATCTATATATATGTGCAATTAGGTAACTAATGGAGCACATGAAGAGACAAAGAAAGAGTAAATATATCAGGAGATAAAAAAGAGGGATCTGTTATAGTAGATATAGTATTCTGGATGTCCTGACACATTTATTGTACTATAAAATACTGCAGCTGTTTCTGACCTGGTAAGTTTTATTGCATAAGGATGAAATTAGTCAATATTTAGGTTTTGGATTATTTCATATACATATCTGATGCMTTACAGTATCTACATGATTACAGGCAAGTGTCTGCTTGCTTATGCCAATTTATGAGTTATAGTTTGTATGAAAGAGTGACTTGCTAACCTTCAATACCCTAATCTTATGAAATAGTTCAGGAATACAAATATAAGCATAGACTTGATTGAGAAATGAAATTTGCAGGATGCTTACTTCTTGGTTTTGGAAAACACAACATAGACTTCAAATGTTTTATTAGTTTGCCTTGACATGTATTTAGTTAAAATATTTTCCAGTTTTGCTGAAATACCTGAAGTCTTTATGTTAGTATCTTAATATGAATTTATCTTTCTTTAAGGAAAAAAAAAAGAATTTGCAAAAAAAAACAGTCAATTTAGACTAATCTTAGAAAAGTAAAGGAAAGCAATGTTTATTGCCTGTTTATTTTGCTTTTAACAACTGAAGCTGTTATGCTTGTGGCTAGGATAAATGTGTAATTTTCAGATCAAAATATGGGTCTTGACTTGTTACTAGCTTTTAGTTGMAACACAGTCAAAGCTTGTATTTCTGGAAACAAGTTAACCATTTCCCAGACAATGATTTAAAGGAAATTTTAGATCAAGGTGAAGGAAGACTTTCCGTGATACAGGTGCTGAGTTCATTAGTTTCATTTTTTGGATCATGACTGTCTTTCCAGATTTTTTCCCTGAAGATACTTTGTGTGTAACATAACAGGCAGAAATTTGTCATAATTMTGTAAGAAAGCAGGGCCACATTTGAGAATCAGATTCACAGGGACTCCATGACTTCAGTTTAGTGTCTGAGCATTTTTTCTTTTGTTTGTTTAGATCTTCATACTATTCTTAAAAGACATGTGATCTTTTCTAACATCTTGCTCATCTTGTCTAGAGAATCATTATTCTGATTCTAAGCCTAAGAAAGACAAAGGATTTTACGAGATATACGGAAGACTGTTTCATTTATGTTTTTGAGTTACTTGAAGATTTTGAAATTTTCTTTTTGCTGTCCTATGTGTGTTCAGCTCCTCAACGTAACATTAATACCTGTCTGAGCCTTTCTTCTGAAGCTTGTTGTGCAATAATCACTGAGAGTGAATACACACCACACATCAGGTTGAACCACTCCACACCAATTAGGACACTGGGCAGTGCTGGYATTGTCACTACCTGAGAAAATGAGCAGATGAGGAGGTACTGAACGCACAGACACTTCCTGGTGGTGACAGCCAAAGGGGGAATGGGTGTAATCTGAAATACAGGAAATTCAGCCTAAACAAGAGAAGCTGTGAAGGTGGTTAAACGAGGTTGTCAGAGAGGGTTTGGATCTATATCTTTAGAGATACTCAAAATCTGACTGGACATGGTCATTACAAATGCTTATATGAAACTTCTACCTATTAACATTTAATTCTTTTGTTTCTATGTCATGCAAAGAGAGGTTTTTTTCTGTCTCATTCTCACCTTGGAGAAAGCTGGTCTACAAGTAAATTTGATATCCAAATCAAAAATTTGGATGTCCTTTTCATTTTTTTCTTTTTTCCTTCTCCCAGATCCTGTTGGTTACTGATCCTATTAGAATTTCTGTGTCAGGCCATTTTGTAGCAATGTTGTACTGACATCTGTACTCAGCTAAATTTGCCAGTACTTACATGGGTAACATAGCTCTTTCTACAACACTCTTGTAGATTGTTTTGTCATGATTAGTTTAATAATGAGACATTTCTTTTCTTGAAAGAGGTAGAATTACTTGTAAACTCAAAGCAAGAAATTTGCTGTTTATTAGCCCTTTGCATGCTGGACACACTGWTATGTGATTGTCATTTGCTCAGCTCTTTATGACTACTGTCTGTGGCAATACTTATTWGAAGGCCACTAGTTCAGCACTCCAAGGTACTTGTCTGAAGCACATTAGGAATTTCAGCACTCCTATCAAATGCAGTAATGTAACCACAGGTTACTGTAATCTTAACCACAGGTAAGATAGAAAATCTCCTTGAATTGGATGAAGTATTTTGTGTGCTAGAGAGCTTCCACCCAAATTGTTGTAAACCCCCACAMCTTGTTGTTTGCTTTTCTCACCAATAAAGCATTATTTGCTGTGAGGAGCAGAAGGAGACAGAATCTGCTGCATAAGCCATACCAGGCTACTGGTATAGTACTCTGGCAATATTTTAAAGAGCTGTTTACATATTTGGCAGACTTAAAAAGCTGCTGTATAACTCATCTGGAAAGTGGATTCCACTAAAAACTCATGGAATTCTATGGATTGTGGTAGTGTAGCTCTTTCTCTTAGYTGTGGGCCAGCATGTTATTTAATGAAATGTACATCTTCTGCTTAGTTCTAGACATAACTATGTATGAAATCAGTCTGAAAAGGCACTGTGAAAATTTGCCCAACAATAAAAAAAAGAATTGTTTTGCAACTTTTTCTGCCTGTGGTGGCAGTTAGGGAGGTTGGATTTTCTTGCCTGTGACTTTCTAGGTACTAAAAAAATTCAGGTAAGGGTTTGGATCTTTCTCTTGAACTTAAGTGCATGTTTTGTGCTGGTTGTTATTTAATAACCTGAATGGGTTTTGAGACCCTTTCTTAAGGTTTTGCAAGTTCATCACAGTATATAGGCTCTAAATCCTCATGTATTGGTGACTGCTGGAGAAGGGCCTTGGACTTCCTGATCCTTAAATCTGTCACCTGGTACATTAGAATTGGTGCATATTTGTTTTTGTGTGTGTGCCTGTGATGTTAACTATAGACAGTTTGCTTTTTTCCCTTAGGAAACCATTCTTGTCAAGTGTARCCGTCCCGGTCATGCATCAATAAACAAGACTTTTCAGTTTGAGAGGTGGGTAGTCCTGTGTAGCCATCTGGAAATCTGGATTGCTGGAAGATTTGTATCGTGAAAACTAATTTTTTTAGTAGGCATTAGCTAGAGGGTAATATTTTTTTTTACTTGATTTTTCAAGTGGGGGAGGCAGGGGAAAATTCTTGGGGTTTTTTTAATGTGCTATTTGTGTTCTTCCAGGGACACAATAATGTGCTTCAGGGTATAGTCTCTCTCAGTAAGGATTACTGATATGCCTAAATTTAARACCTGTATGGAGACTTATCTGATCCTTGCAACATGTTGCAAAGTAGCAGAATGTTTTAAAGGTGAGGAAATCATGTTTGCCTTTCAGTACTTAGAAGGGGCTCATAAGAAAATGTGGCCAAACTTTTTAGTAGGGCCTGTTGCAATAGAAATAGGATAATGCTTTAAACTAAAAGAGGGTCAATTAAGACTCGATATGAGGAAGAATCCTTTTACAATTAGCATGTTGAAACACTGGAACAGATTTCCCAGAGAGGGAGTAGATATCTATATTCCTGGAAACATCTGAGGTCAGGCATGATGGGGCTCTGAGCAGCCTGATCCAGTTGATGTCCCTGCTCATTGCAGGGGGCTTGGACTAGGCGACCTTTAAAAACCCATACCATTTAATGATTCTATGAATTGGGGTGGATTGCATGATTTCAGCATTAGATTCAGAGCATGACTGTGGCAGAAACTGGGCTGAGTACTTGAACGAGTTGATGTTTGAATGGCCTGACCATAGGCAGCAAGGTAGAGCAGTGGCATGGGATTCAGTTCTCCCCGAGGGAAAGGCTGTAGTGTGACTGTTTTCCATATTAGATGCTCAAAAATTCATAGACRTGAATTGAATTTTGAATGCACCATAGGGCATTCAAAGGGCTTGAATGGGACACCAGAGTCACTGATAGTTCATGTCAGAGAGACAGAAAACTGGGAATCAGGCTGAAGAGTGCTTTCTGTTCTTTCAAAATGGTGCTGACCTGCACYTCTGAAAACAGGAATGAAGAATTAAGTAATACAAACAAGAACTCGGTAAACAAAGMAATACTAAATTTTCCCCCAATGCCTATTCCTAATGCAAACTTTGCATCTATATATTCAGTGACTCAGGAGGCTTCTATCCTGAACCATGCTCCAAAAGCCCCTGGAAATGGAATACAGGAGGACAATTTCATGCTTCTTTGCTTGAAGGCAAAACTTGATTTTTCAAGTCAGATGTACCCAACATGAATTATCTGTCCTGGTTTAAACTTAAGATCTGAGCCTGCTCAACCTAAATTCCTGTACATTTGCTAAACATTGTTAGTCACGGGCATTCCTTTCCTCAAGGCATTCTTCTTGTGCTGCAGTTTTCTACTCACAGGAATGGGGTCTGCTGTCATGTAGGCCACCAAGCCCATGAAAAATCCTGAGATAATGCAGATCTTGGGGAAACTTTACTATGATCCTGTAGGTTATGGGACTCYTTTGATTCAAGGCATATGAGATCCSCTAGGGCATATGGCCCCCTCACATGTCTGCTAAGCTACTCAGACTAATTCCTTTCACTCTTCAGTTGAACCTAACCCAGCCATACCACTTGAAGTAAACACAGAATAATGCTGGAATTCAGCTCTGTCGAGCAACACAGTTAATGGTATTGACACAGGACTCCAGAGGTACTGTGATTCTGGAAATGTGGTGTAGATCCTGGTAATCGGGAAAAGGGTTAAAMATGTAAATCCCCCATAGAATGCAGTTCTCCAGGAATGTTTTTTTAGTGTCCCAGTACAGCTATTATTTTATAAACAGAAAAGCATATGGTTCTTATGAATTCTAAAATGTTTTTGGGTTTTTGGGGTTTTTTTAGCAATGTTTTATGGAACTAATAAATGTCAAAATATTTGATTTCAGCTCAGGAAGAAAATTCCAGCTTTCAGCATGTTACGYTTTTATAATTTTATTGTCAAATCAGTTAGCAAAATAAAAAGAAAGCTCAGAATTTTCAGTGTGAAATTCACATTGATCAGTGCACAGGGACAAATCTATCATTCTGGTAAAAATACATGGGGTTTTAGAAAGAGATTCTTTGGATTTGCAGCATCTTTCAGGGTTTCAGATRTCTAATGAAGTGGGTGTCCATGCTTCAGCCAGGGCTGTGGTTACAGTGTAGCATAAACTAGTTCAAGACTATTTTAAACCACTTAATTTCAGTATGGATAGTACTTGAACCACAGCAGCTAAGGAGTGGCAGTAAAACCACTTTWAGAAGTTGAGTAAATATTTGAGTAGTTACTGTAATGTGGAACACTGTGCCTTTTCTCAGATCAGCTATCAGAGCCTGACCTGGACAGAGCTGGACTGACCCCAGCTGTGGCTGTACTTGGAAGAAATGGCTTCAAGCAGCACTAGGGCTTAGGAGTGTGTCCAGCCTGTTGAGGTTGGACATCAGGAAGATTTTCTTCACTGAAGGGGTGCTTAAGSACTGGAATGGGCTGCCCAGGAAGGTAGAAGAGTCACCACCCCTGGAAGTATTCAAGAAATGACTGGATGTGACACGTAGTGCTCTGGGTTAGTTGACAAGGTGGTGTTCAGACAAAGGTTGGGCTTGATGGCCTTGCAGCTCTTTTCCAAGCTAATTGATTCTGTGATTCTACTTTGCTGTGCAAAGGAACTCCTAAGACTGATTGATTCTGGCCCATGTTGTGGCCAGTAACAAAGTGTTTGCTTTCTTGGGTAACAAAAGTAACCAACTGTGAATGTTTTAATCTTTAAAATGCCTAAGTATTTTTTTAAAATTTATGTAGTAGCTCTGAGATGTTTTGATGCGTGAAGAAAAAATATTTCAACACATACTGAGTTAGAGACTTAGTTGGTTAAGATGGAAGACTGGGTGCTAATGAATATTTCATCAATTCCAGGTGATAGATGAAGCAGAGAAAAGTGTTTTGAAGTGCTTTTGCTCTTTTATATTGACCTTGCAGATTTGTTGTGCAAAGTTTGCTGAAGCATATGCTCATGTGCATGCAAAGCAGGGACAGAGTATTCAGTGCCTGTGTCTTCTTGGCCCAAACTGTGCCACACCCCTGCATATTTGTTGGTTTCTCAGTGAACTATGACRGCACATCAGTGGAATGGCAGTACAAGTAGTATTTGTCTATCAAGCYAGACAAGTGCTCCTTTCCTTATTGAAAAGAGTACATTTTCATGCAGCTTACAATTAGTCTGTGGAACATGTTGCCACAGGATGTTGCTCCAGGCCAAGAATTCAGCAAGATGCAAAAAGAAACTGAATGCTAATTCTAATAATATTTTTTTTGAAACAGAGATTCAACTCATATTTCAGTTCTGAGGTCAGTGTACAGCTTTTAAGGATTACGATGAGGCACAGAGATGAATTATTATGTCTCCAGCCACCATATTGTTTCTTGCTCCTTCCTCTGGCTGTTGTCAGGAAAAATGCTGAATTCAGTGCACTGACTCCAATTCTGTGTCTGTTTAACTGTGATCCCTATCTAACAATCTTATTTATGGAGAGCACAGATACAAAAACTCTATTTGTGCAGTCTGTAGATTGTAGCAGACAGATCATGGTCAGATATACAAAGAGGCTTGAGTAAATGCTGAACAGCACWCTTTGTCTTCATTCAGTTAACCTTGTAGTATCCTATACAATCTGTGGGATACTATTATGTGGAGTTTATTGCTATATTGTATGCACAGAGAAGTGACTACGTATTTGTAGTATTTGTAATGTTTGCTGCTACCAGAGTTCCTGTTTCTAATTAGCCATTTTTCTGTGAGCTATAAAGAACATATCGCTCATTGGAAAACAGCTAGACAGAAAAAAGAAAAAAAACACCACAGAAGGATAACAGAAAAGGAAATCTTTTCAAAAGATAAACATTCATATCTCAAATATTTAACTGTGGGTAATGACATTCATATTTTAGATTGTGTTCATCTTGTATAAACAATRGGTGCTGCAGGCTGTAGTCTTTGGGAGGATATGTTTTTGTTGTGCTAGAGAAGAAATTAATGAGTTAGGATATCCATGTTTTATGATCAGAATTTTCTCTCTCTGATGGTTTTCTATTTTCAGGTCTTGATTTTATGTTGTACAAACCTGAAAAAGTTGGAGGAAAAATTTCTTTGAAGATAACTGATGGGGTTTTTTTTTCTTCCTTACATTATTGTTTTTGCCCAAGCATTGAACTGTCATTGCTCTTTTCTAAGAAGTAGAATAACYCATGCAATTTAATTATCTTCCATTTTGTTAAAAAATAGGTCTGCGTTCCACATCATTATGTAAAAGAAAATATTCCCTTGAGTGAGAAGTGTGGATTTCAAAGTAGGTAGCTCATCAGGGGTGGGGATGAAAATACCTTAGTCTGACCTTGCCCACAAAGATAGTGCATCCTGAAAYATGGCCTTCAGGAACTTTCTGATATCTGCTATGCCACTGACTCTCCTGAGACAAGTCCTCAGCAAGTTTGCAGCCTCTGTGCTGCTTCCCCCCCCAAATTTTACCCATCTCTAAAGGGCAGTACAACCTGACTGCTGTCTTCCATAARGTGATGCAAAGCAGGCCCAGGCAGCAGGGCTATTTAACATTCTAGTAGGCAGGAAAAAAGTAACAGGGATCCAGTGCAGCGTAAAAAAGGACTCTGTGTGCCAGAGGAGCAGGCAGGAGGTTTAGGAGGAACTCAGAAATCCACAACTGTGCACCTATGGGTTATTTGCTTCAAAACACACAACAGCTGCTCCCAAAATGTGAGAACTTTGGAATTCTAATATTCAGTTCCCTGACACAGAAGTGTCAGCAGGTCCATGTTTTATGTCATTGTCCTATGGCTTCCATAATCTGTGTTCTTGTACAACATCTTTTTCTTTGGTTAATCATTGCACTTTGTTCCTCAGAGTTTACAATGATTCAGAGTCTCAAGATACARTATTTGCAGATGTGGCCCCTTTGCTAACATCTCTCCTGGATGGGTAAGTTAAAAGGTTGCAGTAAGAAAACTAAGGCACAATAATTTACTGAAATCTATCAATGAAAAAAACCAAACCTAATAGGGGTGATTTTATGGCTTTGCAGTTCCATTTTCCTGTTTTCCTTTTTCTCAGCAGCAAGTGAATGTTGTTTCCCGGTAGGAACAGTGAAAATACAGTTTACAAAATTTCGCGGGGCGGGCAAATTCATAAAATAGAGAAAACCCCAGTTTTTCCTCAGATCTGCTTCTGTCAAACTGCTGCTTCTAATGGAAGACATTGTCTTTTTTCTTTGTGTTCTTTTAGGTTATGTTTTATAACTTTTCCAGTTGCAGACATTCTATGATACATCTTTTCCCACAGTGTGTTCACTATGAACACTGTGTTGAGTGTAAAAGCCTTACCAGGGCCACTCTGTTCTGGTTTTGTGTCCTATAGTCCATAGGAGGTGGTGCAATCAATTCCTGGATGAGCCAGAACTGAGCATTCTCAGTCATTCTACTACTCCTTCAGGCACTGTGRTAAAACAGAATTCTGGTTTGAATACAAAACTGATCAGTAACAAGCACTAACAGAAATTACTTCTGGCTACTGAAGCTCATAAAATGTGAATTTTCATAAGTACTGAGCCAGCTTAAGCTACTCTTGCAAAGAAGCTTTGAAGTGCATATTTTTATAATCCTTGAGGCTTGAACTTAGATTTATACCTCACTTTCTTTCTGGTCCTTCTTTATCCCTGTTCCAATACCACTTAATTATATGGTAGGATTGTCATGGACTTTTCCCTCTCTGTAGAGGAAAAGACAGTCCCTTTCCATCCACTGTGGCATAATTGAACAGTGGCAGTCCTTGTTCCCAGCAGCCTGCTCGCTGAAGTTTCCAAGGCTTCTTTTCCTAAAAGTGTCCTGGAAGAGGTATCTAAATATACTGTGAACATTGGGAATTCCATATGCCACAGAGGGGCCTCCAAAAGCTCCCTGGGTGAGGGAAGTCACAGATTGCATTATTCTTCGTTACTAGTGATGAGTAACCACAGTTTCTTTATCTGAGCAGCCTAGGGACCACTAGGTTGCAGGAGTTTAAACAGGTTTTAAGACTACTGTTTTCTCTCCCTACTTTTCCTTTTCCAATGATTATAATTTTGCCTTGGTTCAATATGTCCTTTAAGTGTCTTCAGACCTATCTGATCTGTACCTTTATCTGCTGTACTTCCCACTTACAGATTTTTGCATGGGGAGAATCCTAAAAGCTAAGGAAGGAAATGTTCTATTATTGAAAACAAAAGACCTGTTTTGTTCTTCCAGAAGTGCTTCTTGTAAACAGAAGCAGATTCTCAGAGAAGGCGAGTCCATACAAATGAGCAAAGCAGCCTTCCCACTGTAAATGGGAAACAGACATACTTAGTCTGAACCTTGAACCTCTTTGCTGCTCCTGATAGTTTTAGTCTGGGTTCCAAAGGGGTCCGTAACAATTTTTAGCTTGAGTAGGAGGGAGTGTTCTTCTCCTTTTCCTTTTTTTTTTCCCTATGTTTTTCTTTCTTAATAGATTGTTTCATTTTTCAGTATAAATACACAGGAAGGAAAGATTGTTCCTTATGCAAGACAGACAAAGTACAACAGTCTTCAAAGTTTACTGTRAGCCATACAGGGCCAGCAAGGGAATAAGATAACTTTTCTTTTCTTTACATCATTGAAGAATCCAACTTGTTTGTTTATTTTTAAAAAGAACAAATTTCTCTTCCTTTGATTTCCTTTAACAGTGTTCTCTCCTAGTGGTAACTTTATTAGAGTGAACACCCACRCTCTTCTCAGGAGAAAAGTGTTACAAAAATGTTGGCTTGGCAATAAGCACTTTTCTAAACAAAAATATATATAATAATAAACAAAGTGGAGAAGGAAAAATATCAAGGCACATAGGTGAATTGTWGTTAAAAATCTTCAGACTTCTTTATTTGAAACATTTATGCTGGAGCTAGAACAYCAATGAAGTAAATGATCATAAATAACTATTATATAGGTAAAGCAATCTGCTGTTTGTCTTCTTGTTGAATCACCCAACAATTCCTTATCTCCTGTATCTACTTAGATATAATTCTGCTTTGGCCAGTTTTAATTCATTTGGGCATACTGAAACACTGTTTTAGCTTTGGCAGACAAGTTACCACTGATAGATACCTGATTTGCATCTCTGTCTTCAGTGTTACAACCCCCTGCCCACTTCTAAAGAAAAAAAACACTTGCAAACATCTGGCTCCTTTTTTTTATTCCAAAGATCTTTTTAATTTTGAAGTAGGGCTAGAAGTCTCAATAAGATACAGGCTTGCTAAGCAGGCTGCATGAGGGATGGAAYTGTGAAAAATATTCCTTGTTAGTCTAGCTAAAAATTACCAAAATTAGTGTGAGCATTTCTACTGAGTTATGTTAGCAGTAAATACTTCAAGAAATCCCTRATTTCAGATTTACAGCCCTAATTTTTATCACACTTAATGTTACTTTAGTGCCCTTTGTTTTCAATKACAGTTTTCTCCTTAACATAATCAAATCTATGACTGGACTCCTATCTTAYATTCTGCACTGCATGCTAAAATCAGGAGGGATCTTACTATAGTGCAACTTTGATTTCACATTCCCAGAAGGGGCACCAAGGTATTTTATGTGTGACTTATCAGCCCACATTTTTTTTCTAACAAGTGAAAGCTTTCAAAATAATCCTCCTGAAATAATTGCTTCTAAACRTGTTTAACATGCAAAAAATCACTCAAGTAGTCATGTAAATATTTAATTACTTGAAACCATACATTAAAAAAATTAGATGGGTGTGTTCATTGAAATATGTTGGCATGTCCTTGAAACTACATTTTTGATATGAGGAAAAGCATCAGATAAYCAAAAGCAGCTGTTTCAGGTCTGCCCACAAAGGAGGTAGCTTAGGCAGTGAAATTTTATTCCCTGGCAGAACAGGGACAAGACCATATCTGCAGCTCTCTAGTAGAGCAGAAGTTTCTGCAAACTGTGAAGCACTCCTTGTGTATGAAGGTTCTACTAATGTCCTGTCTCTGAACAAATAAGATAGTCCAGGGAGACAGCAGTCTGTCAGCATAACTGCATCTTCCGAGGGTTTTGCTGGCACATTACTATTGTCAACATCGAGGTGCTGGCAGAGGCTGCAGAGCAGGCACAGACAAGGAGGAGCCAAACTTCAGCTGCACAGCGGTGTTGGACTTCCATGCAAAGCAGTACTGTGGCTGGATGCATCTGTGTCCACCCACATATTTTGCATAGGATGTTGATTTTGATCTGATTGTGCTAGTAACACACTTTCTGGACAGGATTCATACATCTCAGTTCAGATCCCTGTGGCACAGACATCCACAATCGTGCTCACAGCTGTGAACTGTTCTTTTTCTATTATTTTCAGTGCCGCAAAAGAGGCATTTTCTGAGTTCTGTTCATTAGAATATTTACTTGTCTACTTCAGAGGTGTTGTTTTGTAGGTGCTTGTTCCTCTGCACTGACACTGTGCATTTTCTTCTGTCCTTATGAGAGCAGGTCCTGCCGCCTTTGTTGCAGAGTAGTCATTGTGTGCATGCTCATTCTGAACTAGTGCTCTTGGTTTAAAATTTGTGCCTCCTATTATTAGGACTGTCTTCTCTGAAAAAGGCTTTGAGAGGTGAAGAATTCCCAGCTGTTAAGATACAAGTGTAGTGGTTTGCAACACATCAGTGTAACATAAATCAAGCCCAGCGATGGTTTACTTTAAAATGCTGCAAACTGCAGTGGTTCAAGAGCTGATTAACAAGCAGTAGCGCATAAGCTGGAAGTTGGGCAGACAAGGAGGTCTAACAGCATCAATCATTCAAAGCTAAGGATCCTTTAAACTTCTTCTTAAAAGCATCCCCTCAACTCTGCTTAAAAAATAAAATCTTTTGGTGTTAATTTGGTAGTTACTGTCAGACTTTGAGATCTGCAAAAAAGAAATTGGGGGCAGTGTATTTATTTTCTTCTTTAAGTTTGTGTTCCCAAATTGTTTGGGGTTTGACTTGACATCTAACAGACACATTTGGTAATAGTAAAATAAATTACAGTGCTTGTATTTTTCAGGTACAATGTGTGTATCATGGCTTATGGGCAAACTGGAAGTGGGAAGACATACACCATGTTGGGACCACAGTCAGAGGGGAACTTAGCCTTCTCCATGGAAGAGGAATCAGAACTTGGAATTATCCCTCGAGCTACCCAAGAAGTGTTCAGGTAAAACCAAATAAAGACTTGCTCTTAGTGGCAATAACTTTAAACTGTGTAGAAAGGAAGAAATAATCTTTGAAATGTATTATCRTTATAGATTTCAACTTCACAAAAAAGATGAATATTTATTGCTTCTCTGACCATCATTTGATATTTGAGATTTTATATAGATTTCTAGTCCCTCTCCTGCTTAATCCGATTTTCTAAGACAACAAGATTATGTAGKTTTACTGTGTGTTATCTCTCCATCTGGCTTTCAGACTGTTAATTAAACTTTTGAAATTGTTTCAACCATAGTTATGAGAATCCATAATAAGTTCCTAAAACTTGTGAAAATTGACAATTGGAATACGTGGAGAGGATTCAAATTAGAACCCAGTCCCAGGGAAGAAGGATAGTAGAATTTTTAACTACAGTCTGTTCTTAAGAGTTCTTAGATTTTTTTTTAGTTGAATCTAATACAGGATTGAACTGATACACTACTGTTTTACAGAGCCATTAGAAGTTTTTCCAGCTGAGCCTGTTTCTTTTGGAGAGGGTTACAAGCTAACTCAAAGAACCAATTTTGTAGGAGAATAACTGTCTAACTGTAAAGACTCTCCTGAATAGAGAAGCCCTTAGTTTATGGATTTTCTGAGGCTGTGAACAGATATAATTTCTTACAGATATAGTTTGCCATCTCTTTCTGTTCATTGCTCTCACTCTACCAGATTTTATACTCTGAGCTCTGAGTACAGTAACTGCCAGCAGAAAAATGATATTAAAAAAATTCTGAGGTTGGAGGCTAGTGGAAAAAAAAAAGCTGCCACAGCTCTTTGGAAAATTAAATTCTATTTACTTCTTCAWGTATAAATTAACTGTATGTTCTGTTTCTTCAAGTCAATTAGCATATGGATGAGACAAATTAATGGCTGCAGATACTTAGTAAACCCTTTAATCAGATTGTAATTATACTACAATTAAAGAATAGATCTTTATTTACAGGTTGTTCATTTGGGGTTTGACTTCAACATTTTGGGCTTTTTCCTTCAATTTTTTGATCTTTTTTTTTTTTTTTTTTTTTTGCCAGGTTTTTTTTTTTTTTTTTTTTTTTTGCCAGGCTTATTTCAGAAAAGCCACTGGGAAGTTACTGGGTTGAGGTTTCTGTTGTAGAAGTGTATAATAATGAAATTTTTGATCTTCTGGCCAAAGACAGCTATGGAGTATTTGGCGTCAAACGTGATGTTGTCACAACCAGAGAAGGGAAGAGTGATGTTCCCTTGCTGACGCACGAGTAAGTATGTGGCTTGTTCTTACATCCAAACATGATCTAGTGTTAATGCCATGAAGAGCTGTCACAAAATTGCATTATAGGCACCAGACTGCTTCTAAACAATGAGTCTTTACCATACGCCAAAGAACAGTTCCATTTCTGTAAGCTCAGTCTATTAGACTGCAGTTGGCTGTAAATGTCAAAATACTTCCAGAAATAACTGTACAATTACTTTGAGTTATATTCCTGGTGTTATGTGCCTTCCACTCAGAATGCCTGAAGATTGCTGCGTATTTCGTTATTGCTGGATCTATGGCATCTTGTCAGCTGTGGAAAAAGAAGGGATAATCTAGCCATAAAGCACTTTCCATTCAGTCTTACTAAATTATAAAATTTACAGATTCTAATAGAAATTTATGTACTAGTTGTAAATGTATTTTTAATCAGCTGTAGGGTGTTAGCTTTCCCTACATGCGTTGGAGTTAAATAAAATTATAATAAGATTGTAAGTGATCTTGTAATACAAATACCAATCTTAATATTGCTTAATGTTCTCTTTTCATAACTGGAGTTAGGTTGAAATTGTTATGTTGGCATTTGAAAATCGAGGTTCTTCAAACTAAAAGCTAAGAAGCAGCAAAGCTTCTCACCAATCACTTTTAAGAATCACTTCCCAGCATCGGTGTATGCCCTGTTTGATCCTTATTTACAAAACTTGACAGTGTAGGGAGAGCTAGGGTATTTAAGGCTACAGCTATACTTACTTTAATGCCTTCTTTTACTTACTAAGCATTACAAAGACTTGTTTCAGTACTCATTGGAATGATTCTTGTCATTACATAAGTGTAGTATACAAAGCAAATGTATAGTGCTTTCTTATTATATATAAAAAACTTACTTTGGGTAATTAGATGTTAAAAATCATATGTTCATAAAATTTCATCCATTAAAAAGAGGGAATCTGTTTCAGATGCTTCATTTTAGTAGTGGCTGTGTTGTTTATCATAAAACGTTCTGAGTGAGAAGGGACCCACAAGATCATTGAGTCCAGCTCCTGGTCCTGCACAGGATAGCCCCAGGAATCACATTCCAGGACCTGGCCACCCTCTGGTGGCCTAATATCCAATGTAAACCTCCCCTGACACAACTTCAGGCTGTTCCTTTGGGTCAGTAGAGAGAAGGGATTGGTTCCTGCCCTTCTGCTTCCCCTCACAAGGAAGTTGTAACTGCAGTGAGGTCTTCCATCAGTCTCCTTTTAATCCAGGCTGAGCAAACAAAATGGCATCACCTTTTCCTCACATGACTTCCCCTCCAGGCCTTTCACCATTTTTGTGGCCCTTCTTTGAGCCTTACAGTAGTCATATCAACATTAGGTAGAAGTAAAGAAATATGGGGCAAGCAGTACTAGTGGCACCAGAGAGGCAATGGTACCCAGTAGAATTAAATTGGATACCTCTCTGTGAGCACCCAGCATGAGAACAGATTCCAGAAGGGAGTATGTGCATTACAGAGATGTCTTGAAATATAAAAAAGTGTCCTGCTCCTTGAGTAAATAATGTTTGTGAAAAGAAACATCTTGCTCTACTGAAATGTTTAGAACAGCATTATAGTTTTCTATCTTTCTGGGGGAAATGTGATGTTTTTCTTCACTTCTCTATAATAATTCTTGTTACGATCTAATCTCTACTTAGAGGGGAATTAACAGTCAGATATGAAATGCATCCCATGCCAATCAAAATAAAATACATCCTCAGTGGAAATAATTTTGTCCTGTGGGACTTAGTCACATAAGCAGAGCAGGAGTTGTTTGTCCATGTGGGTTTAATGCTATTGCCAGCAAGCTTTGATAAAAATACAAGAATGTATTGTATGATTGTGTAAACATATTTTTATTCTACCTAGTGATACACATTGATTGGTTTGTGCTTTCTAGCAGTTTAATTGCTCGTAGAAAAGTTGGACCCCAGAGAAATTGACAAGTGGTTTTCTTCACTGTGGGAGCTATAGAACTCTCCTTTCTTTCTGTGAAATAGTAAGCACTGCAATATTCGTGGAAGGAATAGCATTTGTTTCTGTGGTATGCCTACTCTTTAACCTCTCTGATCTTGAGGTTAAATACAATTTCCATGGAAATGCTGCAAGCTTCATTGCACCCTGCATGCTCCATAGGAACATGGCATGAATGAAAAGTGACTGGAGCTTAAAGTGATGAATCCTTTTGCCCTCTCTGTATTATGCTGACTGGTCAGTTTCTCACTGTCTCTATTCTTGGATTTTCCGAAACATTTAAGGCTTTGCTGTCAAGAGAATGAAAAACTCCAGAAGGAGCTGGGAGCAGAACTTAACCCGTGTATGTGCTGAATCTTTCTTAGAGGAGCTGATCTTTTTCCTTTGACTTCCTAGACAGGAAAGGAACCATATGACTTAGGTAATGAAGATGGGTGCATGTAGTGTAGGCATGATGGGAGTTGAACTTTCCCTGTTTCATCAAAACCTCCAACTAGTTTTTAATTATGATATTTCAGTAACTAAGATGCTGGCCTGGCATAATTTTATTCCTGAAAAATGCCTGTTCCACTTCCCAAGGGAGCGTTGCATAAAAAATGGGGGACCYATCTCTTTTCATAGGTTTTGGGGAATGAAGAGGTGAGAAGCAGTGGGACTTGTGCCATAGAGACAAAAAAAAGCTGCAAGAAGGTTTCATTTGTCCTTCTTGTTAATAAAATGGCCGCTCTGTTTATTTCTGTAAATTTTAATTTATGGCAAAGGAACCTGGAACATTGAACTAAAACTCCTAAAAGCCACTTAACTCTATCAGTTAATACTAAAATCTAATGCAGAAATGAATAAAAATATGGACTTATATCTCAATTACAATGCAAGCAGTGAAAATGTCTGATTCATAAACAGGTTATRTTAATAATTACACAGAAAGGTTAAAAAGAAAAAACAAACTCAAATGAAGTAAGGAAACCATTGAATGAGGCCACCCAGCTGCCTGAAATCTAAAGTAAACAGCTGGTGCTTTCAATAAAACACATTCTCATTTATGATAATATTTCATCTAGGATATGTTGGCCTGCTGGGTCTCATTGGCTTCTCTGTGTATCCATTAAAGTACAGTAGCCTCTTTCCTGCTAACATGTTCATCTTACTGAATCACAAAAACCTCAGTGTCTTTCTTCTTTTATAGCTTGGTTGAYTTTTGAGAACTTTCAGCATCAAATTTTTAACCTAACCACAACAGGGCTTCTCTGTAGAATCTGGTCGTGAAACGTGTGGCACATAAAGCATGATGAAGTCATAGAGATTATACTAAAATATTATTTCTTTCAGTCCTGCTGAAGAGCTGCTGTGCCAAGCTCGCCACACTGAGCTGGGGATGTTSCTTGCCTTCAAAGCCAGCTGCAGCTTCCCAGCAGTAGGTTACCAGCACTGACCCTGAGGCCTGTCTTCCTCAGCAAATGTAGCAAAGGGGCAGCAGCTTGGTGCGCTGACCCTTTGGCAGCTCACAGCAGCAGCTTGCAGAAGCTGACAGCCTGGTGCTGCATCCTAGCCAAGGCTGCTTCCCTGTCAGGCCTTCTAGTCCTGGCTGACTAGCCACTGGAAGATGCAGTTCATGACTTGGGAAGGCAGGATGTGAGGCAATAGCCAGATCAGCCCAGTGTGAGGTTCTGACTGTAGGAGCTAGAGCCACTGCTTTCCTGCTGGTGCCAGGTCAAACAAGCAGGAAGATATCCCCAGTGGGTACCTAAAGGTGGAGGTGTCACAGTGGAGACCAGCATGTGTGGCTCAGATTGATGGGGAAGTCTGTAGGGATTGTTTACCTCATGCAGCCCTGGATACACAGGGAACTGTGTTTAGGTGGCTGCTTCTCCTAAGTGCCTGTAGATACGGTGTGGCCAAACACTCTTCTGGTTTTCAGATGCTTTATTTTTTGATGAAATTGTTTTTGTTTTAGTTGGGTATAGATTGTTTTCTTTTGTTTTTCCGACTCTAAACTCTTCAAGTATGGCTCTTAGCATAAAATAAGTTTTTGCTCAGTGTGACTTTTACTGAAATCAGCCAAATCTATGTCATGAAGACRTTGCCTTTCATTACACTCTTGCTTTTGCTCACAATGCTGCAGCTCACAACGCTGCAGCATTGTGGAACCAAGCCTGTGGCCTGTCATGAGAATTATTAATGTTTTCGCTGTTACAAAGCATTCGGTGACCGGGCTATGACACACAGTCGTAATTTATATGCCCACCTAAAAATAATTTTTTAGGTGTTGTACCTTCGATGATTATTGAAGAATGCAACACAGTGAAAGAAAAGGGTAGGCACTCCTATCTCATTTGTTTTAAACACTGCAAACCTAGGGAAAAACATAGTGGGTTTTTTCTTTACCTAACCAGTTTGTTTAATTTTCTGTGTTTCTTTCACTTTGTGTGTTAGATCTTTGCCCTTTGATTGGTCATATCTGCAGTGCTTCCTTTAACTGGAAAAGAAAACAGATAGTAAGAAATAAATAGTTTATGGAAACTTATGCCTATCTATTCTGACACTGTGCTCATTGAACAGTGGAACTGAACCTTTTTCCAGGGATTCTGAATTTAATTCCAAATGTGAAATATGATTTCTAGAGACCCAGAAAAATTTTGAGGGGTTTTGCCTAATTCTATACCTAAGAAAATAAGCTACCTTAGCATAAATTGGACAAACCCACCTCTGTAAGACCAGAGATTCCAGCAATGTCTAAACCTGTGTCTTTTCTTCCAAAATGTGGAGATGTAGAAATTTCCATTGCTTCAAGTGTTGAGGTGCGGTGCCTCTGGATCTGCCAGGCTGGTAGGCACCCTCTGCAGCACTTTCAGGACTGCATCACAGTTTTTGTCTTGAGTTTTCAACTTTATCCCATCTGAAAAAGTCTATATACAGTTTTTTGTGCAGCTCAAAACTGGAAGTAGTATAAGAAGAGCAGGGAAGTGGAAAATGCTGATTCTCATTCAATTTGTGAACTTTCTTGTGTGATTTTTCCTGCGAGTCAGTTAAATATGACTTCTGTTTCTTTACTTTTTAGGACTGTTGAAAATGCATCTGAGTTTTTGCATCTAGTCAACAAAGGCCTACAGCTAAGAGCCAGGCACCCAACACTGGTGCATGCTCATTCCTCTCGTTCTCATCTGGTAGTGACATTGACCATAACCACAGTTGTCTTTGGAGATAACTTTGGTAAGTAGGATGTTAAAATACATCTAGAGCCAGTTGTTTTTAGAAAAACAGTCTGTGGACTGGAAGATTTTCATATTGCTTTTTCTTCCTTTTTCTAGTGTTTGATACATTCCTTCAGTTCTTCATTTTTCTAACTTCTACATACCTTCTTAAATAACAGACCACTTTCATGTTTGAATGCTACTGAAACTTTCAGTTTCATCACATCTTAGCACTTTTTTTTACATGTCTTGACTTAGAGAGCTGTTGAAGTTTTATTGCATGCAGCAACTAATGAACAAATCTTAAAGTCATAAGATATAAGATCTAGACAGTTAAGATCTAGATGAGATAGACACTGATAAAGTAGTTAAATCACTTAGAATGAATAATTACATGTCATACAAAGTTTGTGGTTAAGCTAACCATAAATTTTAGGGATTATCATATGATTTGGGGTGAAAAAGCATTTTTTTACCCTTTTTTTTACCCTTTGCCTTACAAAAATATCCACTAAATTCAGAATCTCTCGAACTGTAAATAATAGGTGTCTGTATGAAAAGACAAAATATTTGTCTTACTTACTATGGCAACATAAATACTTCTACTTTTCTCTACCACACCAATATTTAACATTTATTGGTTGAGGAACAACATCCTTTTGGGGCTCTTGGGATTAACTTTGTTTTCTTTTGCTTATGTTATAATTAGACTCTCTGCTTACAGTGCTGTAGTCCATCTCCTTCATATTCTGCAACAACAGTATGATTTTAGAAAGCGGAAAATATTTAACATTTTTTTCCCTTAGATTGCTATCAGAAATTAAACCAACAGTATCAGCAAAGCAGAACAAACAGTGGCTTCATTTACCTATGGACCTTGCCAAAAGACACAGTTTCTTTACAAGCTGCCGCACCAGCATTCCCAATATTAATTCCAGCCAGCTCCAGATTCTTGTCAGTCAGGCTGATGGTACTTTTCTAAAGTCAGTGTTTGCACCATTAGCACAGCAGTCATCTTGTTGAATGCAGACTCCAACTTTTGACTCACAGCGCATGATGAAGATGTGTACTGTAAGGGAACAGAGCAGCACTGCAGTTGGGACCTCACTGCAGCATTGTGTGGCAGCATAGCCTGTCTTGTTTAAAAGGAAAAGATCCTGATTTAAAAGCCAGGTGACGTTGTCAAATATCTCATMATAAATATCTAAGTCACTAAATAATAAGTTGTAAAGTCTGCGATGAGTTCTGCACCTAAAGCCAGGGTTGACAAGCCAGCACTTCTTCCGGTTTCATTAAGTTATTTTAGCATTTTTATCAGCATTATACGTTGTTTGGGAGAGCTGTTAATTTCGTTGYCTAAAACTGAAGAGGAGTGAGAACATTTAGTTTGACACTGAAGCCATTTATTCTGTGTAAACTAACACAGCTGCTCTGCCTACACTGTGAAGAACCCACTCCGGGTTTAGCAGCAGCCTACTTGGAGAAGTACAGAGCTCTGCAATGCAAGTCAGTCTTCTGCTCCTTAGTCAAGTTTTGCAGTTTGAAACTTTGTACTATTCCCACTAGAGCTCTTTAAGCACCCCAGGAGGTCTGTTGTCTCTGTGACCTGTAGCAGAGTATCTGCCTTTTATTCTTTCATGTCTTTCAGAGAGAGGAAGAAAGAGATAGTTTTCTTTTTTTCTTAGTATTTTGGTTTTCATCTGCTTTGGGGAATTCCTTTTGCATATATTCACACTAAGCTAATGTGAAAGCAACTTTCTCAGAGAATCTCTTTCTCTTCTTTCCTACGAGAGAGTGAAAGCCAGATGCTTCTGCTGAGGAAGGATAGTAGTGAGTAACCAACTTGAACAAGTGGGAAWAGTACTACTGAGGCTAATAGCTCATCATGTGGAGATCTTGCAGTGGGATATGAGGGCCTAAGGAAGTCTAGGGGAACATCAGCAAAGGACAAAATAGAATAAGCAGGATGAGGTTTTTGAGTTGTTTGTTTTTTTTTTTTTTTTTTTTTTTTTTTTTTTGCCAGAGCACCAGCAGACGATGTTTCAAATACATAGAAAACCAGTTTTCAGAGCCTACTGCTTCAGAACATACAAATTTCACTTACATTGCCGTCAATCTAAAACTTTTAAAAATGCCTCTTTAAAGTCCTTACTGGACTCCCATTTCTTGTTTTCCACGCAGATRTGTGAACATTGGGGATATTGGATACAACACAATCTACACCAAAACTTGTTACCAACTGGTGTGATCAGTTTGATAAGTAAAACCTTAGATAAGATAAAAAAAGTCATTCAGCACACCTGTGCTATGGATTCTGACTTGTGTATTGCTTCTGTTTGAATGGCCTGAAGCAGCAGATACTGTACCTCTCCTATTGATGCCCCCTTTTTTCCCCCATCTTAATTTTTAGTGTTAGTGAGAAGCTCTTGTTAAYAAAAATTTTTCTATTAACCAGGTACTTTATGGGAAGATGAACAAACCAGTCAGAGACTGAATAAAGAGGCTTCCTATACATTTCAACAAAAAATGCGAGACAATAAATCCACCTCTTCTTCCAGAGCCTCTTCACCAGTTCAACTTGAAGTGACTGAGAAAATGAAGCAAGTCAAAACAAGACTGCAGCTGGTGGATCTGGCTGGGAGCGAGTGTGTGGGTAAGTGAACATGTCTATTCCTGGGCATGGATCCTCAGGATCTAGGTTACAATAGTAAACCAGCTACTTACTGCCTTAGTTCTTTATGGGGGGATACATGCTACCCTGCTCTCACAAAGGGGTGGTTTGAACCCACAGATCCTGGCATAAACGTTTTGAGGGCTGACTGATCCAGTTTTACACTGGTATAATTTAACTCAAATTAAGACCATGTAAGCTTGAAATAAGCTCAGGATGCTTGCCAGTATCATAGATATACTGTTGGTTCAGACTGCTTTTATTAGGCCTGTTTTTCCACTCTGAAAATTAGCATGTCTTTGGTACAGAAATGTTTAAAGAGCATAAATTATTTAAATATTACAAATATCTGTAATAATTGATATACCATGTGTGGATTTTTCTGCTTTATTTTCAAAAAAGTCTTGGGGGAAATTAATGTTGAAAAGATAATATTGTTTTCATTGTTTCTTCAAAGCATTTTCTTCCTGCCTCTTCTATGCACACAATAATTTCAAAAACTTGATTATTTCCTAAAGGACAAGCTTTCTTACCAAGAAAAACCATGCATCCAAATGTATCATTCCAGAAATAATGTTTTGAAAAGTGAACCAGTATTATGAAAGAGTMTTTTACTTTACTGCCAAGAATTCTTGCTATTGCTCACTGTTAAACTTTTGTTCTACAGAGAAACCTAATCTAATACATTATTTTTTCATTTGCTTTAAATGCTGAAAACATGTAATTGAGCAACAGGGTGTGTGTTCTCTCAGTTTAACCAGGACAAACATTTCCTTGGTTTGGGGCTTGGGAGGCCAGATCTTCCAGTGAAGCCAGAAGAGCTGTGCTCCCATCAGTGTTAGATGTGGCCCAGCACACGCAGCAGGCTGACCTCTGCCATCAGCTGTGCTGATGGACTTACTCTGGTGAAAGTGAAGGCAGTGTTAACTCGTAATTGTTTCAAAATGTGGGCAAATCTAAGTGAGCAGCAGTACCTCAGGCTTCTCACACACTTCAGCACCTTGCCCTGTTGGYTCTAGAGCCAGCCTGGGTCAAGTGCAGCATTTTCAAGCCAAGTGGTCTCTTTTTAGCACACTAGGTTTCACGTAGAAAACTCAGCTAAATGTTTTGTCAAAGTTCATCTAACCAAATGTAGATAACCAGCAGTTTAAACACATACCTCCTCCCCTATTTGCAGTTTTCTGCTGTAGTGGGATAGCTCTTACCTCTTTTTCACTTTTTCTTGATATACAAGAAGCCTGGGGATGACTGTATACATAATGACCCCAGTAAAGTTAGCCTGAGATTCATCCTATATTGGATTGTTACCCACTCCTTGGCAGGGTCTTCCAAACTGTTTTGCTCTCTCTCTCTGACAAGAGACTCTACCACTCCAACCTTATCCTCTCCCACAGTCACAGTTCTCCAGCTCTCACTATCCAGACTTCTGGGGTTTTTGCTATTTACTGTACCTTTTCACATTTTCCTCTTGAACTCCTCATTTCCTCTCCCAGTTTGGAAAATGCTGGCCTAAGGGAAAAACTATTTGTAGCCACTCCCTGTACCTGTCTAGAGGTGGGAGAGTAGGTAATGGAAGAAGCTGTTGGCCCCATCTGATCATCCCCATCCATCAGCTCTGCCTGACATGAATCATGTGCTCTGGGTAAGGAGAAGTGACTGTGGGTGTATCTGTACCTCATCTACTATCCTGAAGAAAGCTTGAATTTGAATAAATTTCTCTTCCCCAGATGGCAGAGGTAAACATAACAGGAATTAATTACTTTTAACTGCACTCTCATCCAGACTGATCAAAGAGTTGAGCTTGCCAGCGCCTCTTTGAATTGGTGCAATGTGTTGCATAGATGAAACCTTTACAGTGCTGCTCAGTGACAGCATAGCTACATACAGCCATGCTGGGTGGGTGGTAGAAGGGCATCATTTTGCTTTATCCATTGCCTTACAGAAAATCATGCCATAAAACACCACCTCACAGGCTTTGGTGAATAYAAATCCTTCACACTTGTGGCTGTTGTACAGTTTTCTTTCTGCAGCTTGTGCCATCAGTGCCTCTCTTCATTTTCCTAAGGGATACAGATGGGGCAGCTAACTATTCTRAAAAATGGTGTAACAAAACAGGCTTCTCTTTGGGGCCACTGTGGACTTGTGTTTTCAAAAGCAGTGTTGTTTTGTCTGATCTTAAGGAGTTCCTGCTTTCTTGGTTCCTTGTTTTTAATACATATGAAGTCAAAATGCATTGCACAGGTGAAGAGATCAAGTTTAACATGAGATGCTTTGGACCATCTGTAGACACTGAATCATCTTTAACCTTTCCTCAGCATTACAGTTTTGAAGCAGCTTTGCTTAGTGTTACCAATGCCTTTTTCTGCACTGTACCAGGTATGTCTGGAGTGACAGGGGCAGCACTGAGAGAGACTTCCTTTATTAACCGCAGTCTGTCTGCCCTGGCCGACGTTCTGGGAGCAATAGCAGAGCAGCGAGCTCATRTCCCATATCGGAACAGCAAACTGACGCATCTGCTTCAGGACTCAGTAGGTGAGGGATTATTCTGATTCCTCTTTAACAATATAGATTTCTTCTACTAACTTTTCCCTTCCTTTGCTATGTAAAACTAGAAGATGATTTTGTGCACTGACAGTGAATGAGGTATCAGTTCTTCAGAGTTTCTGAAATACTATGAATTTTTGCTCAAGCTTTAATTTTTACTTACTACTGCAGTCCCAACTGTGTAAAGAGAAAGCCAAAAAGAGAAGTGAGTTTGGGAGTTATGTTGGTTAAAACTAGGCCCAGCACCCATACAAGTCTATTGTATGACTTTGGTGAAGTGTTGAAAATACCAGTTTCTTCCTTTGTTTAATCATTCTCTATCAGCTTCAAGTCTGTTTTGTTTTGTTGTTACACAAGCCATTTTTGCCATTAACCCAAATTTACAAACATTTGCCAAAACTTAAATAAATGCCCAGACCCATAACATACATGCTGATTAACTGATGAAGCTAAAAGGGGATAAAATCTACATTACAAGTTGTGAAACACTTGGGGGCAGGTGTCATATAAGTCGATACAGACTCCCCATGAAGGAGTTGTCAATTTTCAACAGCCCTCTTCAGGAGCAGTCTTCTGCTTCATGGTAACCTCTGCTCAGTGTTGTGTAGATAAGTATGTTACCAGTGTATAACTTATTGAAAATAATGAGGTAAATAAGTATGTTTTGTCTTTTGACTGCTTTTAGGAGGTGATGCTAAACTGTTGGTGATGCTGTGCATCTCACCTGGCCCCAAGTACTTAACAGAATCAATGCAGTCTCTGGGATTTGGAAGTCGTGCTCGACAAGTTCAGAGAGGACAAGTCAAGAAAAAAAATTTCCCAGTGATGAGTAAAGCAAAATAAAACTTAAGACTCCTGTAGATTAAAGTATCATTCATGAGTTACTCAGACTGAAATGTATACTGTTGTCCTTAAGCCATTCTTTTAGATATAAACTGCCAGATAAAATAAACAATCCTCAACATGGCATTAGTAAGCAATAAACTTACTAACGATGTTCTTGCTACAAAGATAATAGCAAGTATTGACAACAGCTACCAACCAGGATGAAATGGCAGAGCAATAAACCAGGCTTTAAGATATGGCATTGGTGATGTGTTTCCTTGATTCTACTTGGCCTAAGTGAACAGGGCCCTGATTTAGGATGGTTTGCTCTGAAAGGYCAGGGGTGCATTCTGTTTTCTCAGTAGGAGTCTAAACTTCATTCCAGTGCTTCAAAGCAAAAAGTGGAATATTTCCTCCAGCTTGGATTGAGACATGTCAATTTGGATTGATCTTCTATCTAGCATGGATGGGATCATTCCTAATGCACTAGCAATAGGTAGAATGTAAAGAAACACAGCAGCTGTACTGAATGGAGTTTTGTTCGCTGGTTTTACGTAAGAAATAATGGCATTAGTGAGATGAAGGAAAATGAGTAAGGCTATTTGTTTATTATCCTTCTGGAATGTAGCTTAGAAAGCAAATGAGGGATTACACAACTATTTGAAAACACACTTAAGTTAAATGGTTGGAATGAATCCCAGCTCTGCTGAGTTCATTAAACCCACAGCTTTGCCTGTCTGGGGGGTATTTTTGCTCCATGAATGCTGAGAGGCCCTGAATTACAGATCTTAATGGGACCCAACTTGTACATCTGTCCTAGTAATCTGGCTTGTTGTTTCACTTGTATTTCTGAAGCAAGTTAAACACATCACAACCTCGAAGCTGTGCTTGCAGATTAAAAAAGGATAACCACACAAATGAAACACCAAACAGCAGCTTATGATACACTGTCACCTGCAAGAGGCTTTCACCCTTTTACACCAATGGTGACACGTGCAGGGGTTATGAATGAAGTTACACTGGGAGAAGTTTCAAGGATTTTTAAGCAATGTTAGAGATGAGAAGCAGGTTTAAGATGAGCAATTGGGTTTAAGCAACTTCTGATGTGTTCTGTGCACTACAGTATTGCTCAGGACAGGCGTAAAGATCCACTCCTAATTTTTTTTCACCAGCAATTAGTCTGCCCCTAGACTGGGAGAGAGGTCATTGCTAGGTTACTGCAACAAGGCTTAAATTGCAGTGGCCTGCCCCAAAAGCTGGAGTTTATACTATTACAAGTCACTTAACCTTCACAAGCACAAATATTTATCCAGAGATTATGTAGCATACTATTATTTGAATTTTACCCTTGAATATATAACAGCTGCTGTGTAACTTGCAGTGCTCTGGTGCTCAGAACACAAGTATCCAACCAGAGAGCTATAATTTACTTGCTTTCCTAAATAATGTCATGAGGGTAAAAAATGCCTTAACTTGACCTGATTCCAGCACTAACAGAGGGGTAGAGAAAAGAATCTGGCCACAGGAACTTAGGAAGCTGAATGGTCAGGAAAGCAGTCTCAGGTGAGAAAGTGTCAGAGCAAGGAATGCTAGCCTGGTAAATGAAATGCAGGAACAGCTTCAACCTCACCTTAGTCTCTGCACATCTAGGCTACTAAAGCAGCCTGGATTACAGCTCAAAGAGATGTTAAGTAACAAGGGTTAATTCCACCAGCATTTATAAGTAAGTTGAAGTATTTTAAGGATGCAACATTTCTAAGTGTTACACAGAAATACAACTTGTCATAAGCTGTGCTTGCTTTTCTTTTTTTGAAAAACTGCTCTTCAAAACTTCCTATTTATTTATTTACAATCATCTGTGTTTAGGAGAAAAGCAGCAATACTTATTGGAGCAGAGAAATAAACCCCTCAAATATGAGCAAATACCAAAASATTAAGTTTCTACTTTAACATTAACTCTGCCAAACTGAGAGTATGCAGCATTCCCTATTCCAGTTTTCCTTGTCAGCACAGTGTATCACTCACTGTTTGACCTGCACAACCGAGTGTACAGGATATGCAGGGCAACAAGGTTAACATTTTGTTCTAACAACTTTCAGGTTTGGAATTTCCTGGGTTATAAAGATGTGATTGCTCAATCCCAGTGTCAGAAGGGAAGAAGGGTAAAAGTTGTAAGGGTGAAATGGCTTTGCTTCCACATCTAAGCTAAATTGTCTTCTGTCCCAAGAGTCACCCAGGCTTGCCAAAGGAGGATATTCAGACAAGTAACTAATGTCTTGGGGAGCAAGGAAAACAGCATGTGCAAGGCCCTCTATTTCTTTGCTGTCATTTTTCAGTGTTTAGATCTTGCATGCTTTGAAATTACATCTATTTTAGAAAAGCAGATCTGACAGATGTTGACAGAGCTGACTTCATTGACTAAAGCCTGTCCTGATAAACCAGACCATACTATCTTGGCACTGTAAAGCTGAAACACACATACCAAAACTGAGAGAAAGAAAAAATGTGTTATTTGAAAGCATACTAAAATACTGAGGTAGAAATGCATAAGTATCAGGGAAAAGGTGGTTGTTCTTAAGAGTTCCCATGTGATCTGTATGCTAATACAGCTTTACTCTCTGTGAGGGCAGGGACACAAACAAATGAGAGTAAAACCAACACATCTCAGGTAATGTACACAGATATGTGTACGTATAGACCTACAAAAAGTTTCCAAAAATCTAGAATCATTCAATAACCTATGAAGTTCAAAATTTGGCCCAAAAGTACAGTTTTGTRCCCACATTTCTCTGTGGATTTTTCATTTCAGGTGGAATTGATTAGCTGTGGTTGGTGATTTGCCTTGCAGCCAAAGGAAAGSGATTAACAGGATAGATCCACTTTCAGCAATACCTCTGCCTCCCTAGTCTAGCAAGGGAGTCTAGACAAAGGGTTTAGTGCCCCAACTCTGCCACAGCCAGGGAAACTGATCTCTCAAGAACCTAATCCTGAAGRACATAGAACTACTGTGGAGGCTTTTCACTTATGTTCTTCAGCCTTGAACCCTACCATGCCTGCCCAGCTCTGCAGTGCTGGTCCAACACATGTCTTTCAGCCTTTGTCTATCTCAACCTCAGTTTCCTGGCAGCACTCAGCTTTCTGAACAGGGCAAGGCAGCATGCAATGAGGCAGAGCAGATGCACAGGCATAGGAGCAGGTCCCCATCAGTTCTCTCTGAAGATGTTTTACTTGGCATCTGCAAGGAACATCTTTGGTGCAGGGCAATTTATAATTTTTTAGCTTTGAGCGCTAAACTCATGCTGCAGTTCACAGCACTCTGTATCCCCTCCAGACAAGTCTTTAATGTTCCTCATCACGGAGGAGTATCTTTATCAGCAGGTCCCCAGAAAGCACTTTGAGCCATCATTGCTTGAGAGTGCTGCATCATCACAGTGCTGCTGTACCATCACAGGGTTAAAACGAATCAGTAACTAAACCAGCCAGTGTCTTTTGCCTACTCTCAAACAAAACCTTGATCTATGTTGACATTTTAAAATTATATATTTAATTTCCATGTGTGGCTTCATGACTTGGCAGCAGCCACACCACAAAGAGAGCCTGCTTTTAGCCAGGCTAGAAAAAACATAATCAGCATTGGAAGGTTCACAAAAATGTTTGATTTGTTATTAAATTGCTGATTCCATTTTATGAAGCACTTTACCAAACCCTTGCAAAATGCAAGGAACAGGCAGAATGAAGTGGTTATTGGAAAAGGCTTTTGACTCCTGCTGTGAAGAAGCATTGCAAGCTGATGAGCTTGCAAGTCCCTTCCATACAGAAGAAGCATCTGCTCATGGATGAGCAAACAGGCTCACAGTGTGGGGATGCCGAAGGTTCTGCAGCCTTTCACAAAACCACCTTGGCATTCGAACAAGGACATTAACCATAGCCCCAGCCAGACCAAAATGCCACACATCATACAGTGGAGGGCACAGGGGCATCCAATTGAAGGGCATGAGCGAAGCAAATCACTGCCTACAACTATTTTTGCCTTTTCTTGCATCCACATTTATCAAACCAGGTTTTATCTTGCAATGCATCTTTTTCTTTTTATCTTGTTTAATTTTGAAAAAAAATCCAAGATTAAATTCAAGCCTTCTTGAATTTATACAAGTATCTCATAAGATTAGCTCATCTTGTCCACAGAGTTGCAGGCCTAAAGTTGCACCTCTGCTTATTTCCCTGGCAAACCTCAATGAAGTCAAATTATCACCCCCTTGTTCTCCCAGCTCCTCTGGCTTCAGGTTTATGGGTATCTCCTCCAGTACTTATCCCCTCTTACCCTTTTTCTGTTACATGAAATTACTATCCTGGCTGAGATGACTCAGTGCCCAGCAGTTCACTTACAGGCAAGCACCAGAAGTAGTGGTTTTCCTTTTCATTTTCCTCTGGACTTTACTTGCATTCCTCTTCTACATAAAACAAGACAAAACAAATAAACCAAAAGCACCATCAACAAAAAAAAACTACTATAAAAAGTTTTGGAAGCCACACCAGAGCTTTGAAGTTCCAAGAGACAGAAGATGATAGCTCCTCCCTTAATTCAGATGTCTGGGTTTTTTGCAGCATAAGCCTCCTCCACCTCTTTCTGAGCATGCACACACACAGAGATTCTGCCCACTACAGGTTCTGAGCTGGCATTTTGAACTGTACAAGCTCCAGGATAGACACAATTCAGAAATGGGAGCATTTTGCAGGGCAGCTGACACGTGAAGTGAGCAGTCCTTCTTTAGGCTTTAGTCCTGGGTCTCCAATAATTCCAGCCTTTTGGCTGAACCAATGTTCTTGTCACAATGTGCATTACACATGCTCTGATAAGTTTTGTTTGCATTTGAGATCCAGATGTCCACAGTCCTTTTCTCCTGACCCATGTCTTAAGCCCTCTCCAAGGGAGGTGGCTCAGTGTGGGTGGACACATGCAGCCATCCATGTGCTACCTAGATAGGAGGTAGATGAGGAGCCCACGCTGCTCCAGTTGGCTCTGCTGCCAAGCCTGAATCCAGGGAAAATGGTTAGCTGGTGTTTACCGTGCTGATGTTCAATGCCTCCTAATCCAACCAAGCTTAGTCAGTCAAGTTATTTCATAGCATCTGATTTGTGGGAAGTCCTTCCAACAGAGACAGGACAAAGTTCACTAGAAGCACTTCAATATTGCAGTACCTAAACAGAGACACCTCATGGAGATGGCACAGGGCTCAGCCC